GAGCGTACTTCATGTGTGTTTAAGCTATTCGGGCCCAAAGGGTATTGGGAAGCGTATCCCATATCCAGGACGTCAATACTCCCCCTCGGGATATGGGGAGCGTAATCTACATCCGATTAGTTTAGACGGTTTAATGTGAGTGTGTGGGAGGTAGAGTGTATGGATGTGTATGTGAGTTATATGCGAGCTCATGGTGCATTCATACATTCCGTCATCATGTGAATTACGTTAATTATGAAATAATTGTATCTCTACTTCAATTCCTGAGGCATGACTCCAATCCCATTCTTTTTTAACTTTTCTCTAAATTATATATTGCTTAGTTAGCTTGAGGAGATGATATTTAGGCATACTCTACTAAGCATGTGGTCACTCACCCCTTAACAATTTCATGAAATGGCAAGGATAAGGAGGAGGACCTAACCCCTTAAGGCTAAAGATGCTTGCTTTTGGATATCATATTTGTCATTTGTAGCACGTGTAACATAATCTTTTGGTTATGATAGTCATCATGTAAATTATGTAGACTTGATGTATTTATGTGCTAGAATGGGGTAGATCTACGTAATGGTTGTTGACACTTATCCTTTTTATACTTCACCTAAAATCTTAGGGAATTGTATACGTATTATAATGGTGCATGTCTGTCATCTCTCCTTTGGATATCTATGTTGCATGTTTGTGAGATGATTGGGATAGGTTCTTAGGCCAATCCAAGGTTCCATACGGTACCAAGTAGGTGCCCACGGCTTTGGATGTTCAAATAGGGTTGTTTTGCACATTTTGGGATGTTACGCTCGAGCCCATGCCTTGTGTGCTTGAGTGCACTTCATTTAAGGAAAAATAGCTCTTAGTATCTCCCATTACACTCTAGTATAGGTACATTGCACTAGAGCTCAGTCTGCAAGGCTTCCCAGATTTTTAATGATAACTTTAAATAGCCATTACTTCTTTGTTTTTAATCCAAATGAGGTTATGTTGGTGCTCAATTTTAAGGTTTTTAAGTCTACTTTCCAAAGAAATTGGTTTCGCTCAAAATTTGTAATCACATAGGGAGTTATAATTGTTTAAGTGAAGCAAGGTCAGGAAATTCCCTAAACCAGGAATGCGATATTTTCGGAGACCATGGCTATATGCACTAGAACCTTAGAAAAGGTGTTCAACACTTGGTATAATGATAAATTAGCATTAGTTGTACCCTTTGAGCTTGTGTAAGACTTGATTAATGATTATACCATCATTGATTCTCCCATTTGGCTTGGTTAAGAGTCGGTCCGTATCCTTTTCCACTCATGATTCAGATCCTATGGATTTTGGTCGTGACAATTACTGAGGAATATGGTTTGGAAACCAGACCGAATTGTGCCCTAGTATAGAGGGAGAATGAGGAATGAAATCTCTATATATGCAAGAGAGATTGAAACTTCCAGCTAGAGAAAGAGTCCAAATGACTAAATGAGTACACCCAGCCCTTAGCATAGGAAGATGCTCTGTTGTTTCAGTTGATGGGATCATATTAGTGAATAAACAAGAAAATCTCCATTAATCACATCTGATAAAGCTTCAAACCTTAACGCCATCCTCCCAGTGAAAACATCTAAAGAGATTATGGTCTATTCTCAGGTTAAGAGGTCCTAATGGGAGCCAAAAATCATGATAAATAGAGATACCCTTCCCATCACCCACAAGGTGCTTCAGGAAAGGTCTAGCCAACCATTTGAGATGGGGTATCATCCTCTAATTGCAAGAGGAAACCTATGGAGGTTTGATAACCCAGAAACTTCATCCTTTGATTAGATTTTCTTGCACCTAATTGAACCAAATGAACTAATCTTTATCTTTGAATAGGTTCCATAAGTATCTGAGCATAGAGGTTTGATTCATAGAAAATAATTGAGGTATGCCAATACCCCCAAAATATTTCTGCTTGCACACATTCCACCAGGCAATTTGGACACCAGTAGCTCTCACCAGTCCAAAGAAAATTCCATAGCACTTTGTTTATTTGGTTCATAACCATTTTAGGGCGGGTAAATAAACCACACCAAAAACCAATCATGTTGAGCCAAATTGTCTTGATAAGCTGTAAGATAGACACCTTGTTGTCTAGTATGTGATTCTGGTAGTGACTCTCTCAACTAATAACCTGCAATCAAATGCATAGAGTCTTTTGGAAATAAAAGGTACCTTGGGTAAGTTACGTAACTCAAATCCATAACTACTAAGCATATTTGAAGTAAATATTAAACTCTTGGAATGGTTGGAAAATAGAGTAGAACTCAGAGAATATATTGAAAGGTCCCCATTTAAATAGAACGTAAGGTCATCAGCAAACATAAGGTAGGAGGGTTTCTTACATTTCTAGTGGAATTTGAAGAGTGGGGCACTGTCAATAGCTTATGGCGTATGGATGAAAGAACGTTTATAACTATAGCAAAAAGGAAGGGAGACAAAGTGTCTCTTTGCCTTAGGCCTTAATTTCCTTTAAAGAATACATAGAGATCACCATTGATAGAGATTGAGAAACATGGGCAAGTGAGGCAACAAGGGGAAAGTTTAACACTTGTAAGGTGTCCAAAAGGAAAGAGTAATTTACAATATCATATGTTTTTTGAAGGTCAGAGTACATCTAAGGCTGTTAGAAATGGAATGATACCCTTTCATTTGCTCATCTTCTATAAAAATGTTGTCATTCATCCTCCTACTCTTAATGAAAGCAGTTTGACATTTATCCACAAAACTTGGAAGGATATGTTTCAGCTTATTTTCGAACTGCTTAGAGATGACCTTGTACATAGTGTTGGAATAGGCAATGGGTGTAACAACCCAAATTTGGTGAATCCGAATCATTAACAAGTGGTACTATATAACCAGGTCCTTATCCAAACCCAATGACACATTAAGGGTAAAATGGTCATTTAATACCAATGATGGAGGATGAATTAACTCTAAATGAGTCAAATAAGGTTCATTCTAATCATAATAACCAATTAAATCTATTCCATAAGGTTTTTGTGGCTGTCATTGTTTCCTACAATTACCCACAGTTTTGAAGATTTTATAAGTAGGTCTTACTAAAAAGGTCATAACTCTTTGTGTGCTTAAAAATTAAAAATGATGTTGATATATTAGGAAATCTAGTTTCAAGGCGGTCAGTTTGAACACAAGAATGACCTAATTTGGATTTAAAATGAATAAGTTATGGTAATTTGAAATCTGATGTTCAAAACAAACATATGCTGAAAAACAGGGGTGCAATATATTGCAATTAATTAGGATCGATTACAATTGTGGCAGAATTCACTCCAAGTTCGAATATAAAAGAAGGATTGATTGTAATTGATTGGGATCGATCACAATTGCCCTATAATGCCCAAAATCACCATGTTTTGGTACAAAATGCTAAGTTTAACCCTTTGGACCCAATTGTGATCATGGAATAGTTCAAAACCAGTCGGAAACACTACAATGAATGTGAAAATGCCAATGTACATCTATATATATACTCCCTCTACTCCAAAATAGTTAGATACTTTGAAAATTGTGACTCACAATTTTTTACCCTCTAAATTATTTTTTAATAAAAACTTGCACTTCCATTCCGCACAGAACAATGTACAAATTTTTTATTTTATTTTTCCTTTTGGGTGACACAAACTCTATGAATAGTAGAAATATAAGTTAAATGTAGCCGGTTTCAAGAATCAATCAGATGTATGTCATCATTTAAAACTTATTATAATCACTTGTTTATAACTTGTGTATGATATCAGTCACTAGAAGTATAGAGTTGTGTATGTCCAGTTTATTTAGTATTATTTAACGCATACTTGAGTTTCATGAAAATTACAAACAAGTATAGCTATTATAAATTTCACTTCTAAAATACTTTTATAATGGGAAGAATTAGAAAGAGAATAGAATTAGGAAAAAAATTTAAAAAGGGGCAAATTTACATTTAGGAAAAAGTTAGAAAGAAAATAGAATTGAAAAGATAAATACCTAAATTATTATTATAATGAGAAGTGGGAAATAGAAAAGAATTTTAAAAAAGGTAAATTTATATTTAGGAAAGGGTTGGAAAAGAATAGAATAAAAAACGTAAATTTACATTATTAAAAATACATTATAAATAAATAAATAAATAAATAATATACTACAGTCTTTGTACTTATAATAATAGTATAGACATAGATATAAATTGGTGTTTTGGAGTTGTATATGTTCACCCTCCGGACTACGGTCTCCTGCTCATTTTGCTCATTCAGTACTGTCAATTATGGCTTTCTCGTAACCGAGGAAGGTATCCCTCTTTGGTTCTCCTGCTCATTTTGCTCATTCAGTACTGTCAATTATGGAAGGTATCCCTCTTTGGTTCTCCTGCTCATTTCAGTATAAATATAGGCACGCTTACACGTGATACGTACCCGGCCAATAAAGAATATGAAAACTCTTAAATTAAGAATTACCATTAGATTTAAGATATTCTTGATTTTCACGATGGAGGATTTTCATAAATTGTAAACAAAACATTCCATTTAACATCAGAAATGCCGTCAAAAAGTCAAACTATTTATAGACAGAGTACTAGAAAACAAATTGTCATTGAAATGTATGGAGTACACAACCAAGAGAGCATGAAAGTTTAATATTGCATAACGTGAAAGACATTCAAAAGGGCCATATGACTTTTTAAAATAAGGATGATCCAACTGGTTAATTGCTGCAGACACCTGGTTGATATATACTTCTAGTGATTTGGATAATGGAATCCTGCAATAACATCATACCTAAGTAAACAATGAAACCCCAATGTTAAAGACTTGTTCAAAGCTCATGTATATATCTAATATATAGCATTAGAAAAAGAGGGGATGGAAAAGGAACAAATTAGCTGACTAAGTAAACAATGGCTGCCTAATAACAGTAAATTAGAGAGAAATGTACCTTCTATTGAAGTGACAATTTGCAGGCATAGCAGCTAAGCTTCCTTACAACCCATGGTTGCTTCTAAGATTTTTCTCTTTACGATAAACATTTTCCTTTCTTTAATGATCCCTTTTGTAGTTCCATTGTCCTTCAACATCACCAGCTTCACTCCAAGTAATTCAGACATAACCTATGAAAGAGCTTATCCAGCAAACAATGTAATCCAACTCACAGCAAACCAGCGTGATTTACCTTATAATTTTTCAAGCATCGGACGAGCCACGTATGCCAAGCCGTTGCAACTTTGGGACAATGCCTCAAGAAACCTCATAGACTTCACTACCAATTTCACATTCGTCATCAATTCGCAGAACAGAACATCTTGTAGTGATGGGATCGCGTTCTTCCTTGCGCCTTCAGGATCAAAAATCCCTGATAATGCAACTAATGGTGGTGGCCTTGGCCTTACAAGTGACTTCCAGCTACTGAACTCATCGGATAATCCATTTGTCGCGGTGGAGTTTGATATTTATCAAAACCAATGGGACCCGGCACATCAGCATGTAGGTATTGACATCAACTCTATGGTATCGGTTACAAACATGACATGGTGGGGAATTAAGACAAATATTTATGAAGGGAATATAAATGGTGCTTCGATTAGTTATAGTTCTGCCTCAAAAAATCTGACAGTTGTCTTCACTGGTTTTAGAAATAGTGATCCTTTCGAAGAAATGCTTCAGTACACAGTTGATCTAAGGGACTACTTGCCAGAATGGGTTACAATTGGCTTTTCTGCTGCAACAGGAAATAAATCAGCTATACATACTATAAACTCATGGAATTTCAGTTCAACAGATCCAGGGGTAATAACGAGAAATTCCAATCCTTACCCCAAATCAAGTAAAAGCCATACAGTATTTGTGGTTGGATTGGCTATTGGCGGAGGTGCTTTGGTTGGTATATTGAGTGTGGTTTTGATCATCTCCTGGAAGAAGAGGTGCGGGGTTCAAAACGAAGATGATCCTGTCTTAGATGTGTCCATTCTTAACAAATTTGAAAGAGGTGCAGGACCTAGGAAGTTTTCTTACAAGGACTTGGCTCGTGCCACTAATAACTTTGGGAAGGAAGAGAAACTCGGACAGGGAGGGTTTGGTGGGGTTTACAGAGGTTTCTTGAGGGACCTCAACTCATATGTTGCTGTGAAAAGGGTGTCAAGGGGTTCAAAACAGGGTCTAAAGGAGTATGCATCAGAAGTGATCATCATTAGTCGATTGAGGCATAGGAACTTGGTTCAACTCATCGGTTGGTGCCATGAAAGAAGAGATCTGCAACTTGTTTATGAGTTGATGCCAAATGGAAGTTTGGATTCCCATCTCTACAAAGAAGAAACCATACTGACATGGGCTGTGAGGTACAAAATTGCCCAAGGTGTGGCATCTGCATTGCTTTATCTTCACGAAGAATGGGAACAATGTGTTGTGCATAGGGACATAAAGCCGAGCAACATTATGTTGGATTCAAATTTCAATGCCAAACTTGGGGATTTCGGGATAGCTAGGCTTGTAGACCATGAGAAGGGATCACAAACAACAGTTTTGGCAGGGACCATAGGCTACATGGCTCCTGAATGTGTCATTACAGGCAAGGCCAGTAAAAAAACGGATGTCTACAGCTTCGGAGTTGTTGCATTAGAAATAGCATGTGGAAGAAAACCCATCAACACCAAGGCTCAAGAAAGTCAGATTGGCATGATAGAGTTGGTTTGGGACCTCTATGGAAAGGGGAAGCTTCTTGGAGCAGCTGACCCGAAACTATTTGCAGATTTTGATGAGCAAGAAATGGAACGATTGATGATTGTTGGGCTTTGGTGTTGTCACCCATATAACAATTCCAGGCCTTCAATCAGACAAGCAATTCATGTCCTGAATTTTGAAGCCCCATTGCCAAGTCTTGCATCAAAAAAACCTGTGCCAACATATGGAATGTTTACTACATCTGGATTGTTTCCTACATTTCCAGCTTCACTTTTGTGACGTTTCTGATTTTTCCCTATTTTTCAATTTCAGAGATTTTTTTATTTTTCAGATTATTTATTTTCTTCGTCTTGTTTTGTGTGTCGAACATTGTGGGTGTATCGGATGAGTTTCGAGAGTTGATTGGAGCATTTATTTGAGTTCGGGACTCTTAGAAATGCATCGCTGGCCATTTCAGCATTTTTCAATTTTTCGAGCAAGGAGGTCCTAGGCGGACTCGCAACCGAATTTGTAATGTACGAGAATTATTTTTCGAGACTATTGAATGTCTTACATTATTAATTAATATATATTTGTGTGACTGTATGTTTAAATGAGTGGTTGTAATGTGTTTAGCGTGTATATATATATATAAATAATAATAATAATTATTATTATAAAAGATGATATTTTAAAAACTGTGAGACCCACCACTTTCCTTTAGTAATGTGTAATGACTATATGGTCATTAGATGACCATTTTTTTCTTATCTTTTCATGCAGCCATTTTTTTTTCTATTTGGTTTCTATTTATTTTTTATTTTTTTTCTTTTCTTTTCCTTCACCAATTTAAGGGAAGATCTACATTATATCATTGAGAATTTGACTTTGCCACTGAAGGCAAAGTTAACGAGCATGATGAGAGCTCCGATTTGATCAAAGCAAAGTTAGATTTGGGTGATTTTGCTGAATTTTGAAATTTGGAGAAAATTATGGCTTGTTGCATCTAAAGAGGTAGGGTTATCTAATTGTCAAATTCCTTAAACTTAATAGTTAATTGTATATTTTTGCCCCCTTTTTACATGTCAATTTGATGCTTAAATATGATTCTTGGGCTTTGGCTTATGTATGAGTTTTGTCTAATTGATAAATTGATATGAGTATATGTTGGTTTTATGTATGAATTGCAAAGACATGTAATTAAATGGGCTAAATGATGGATTATATATTTTTCTTATATGGTGGTGTTAATATTTTTGATTAAATACATGCTAGATAATATTTTTGATTAAATACATGCTATAGATGTAAATTAAGTCTCTATCTGGCTATAGGATAGTCTATTGTATTATGGAGCAAAATTATTAGTGATTAATTATCGTTGATGCATTTTTATATTGCACGGCTTAAGGGTATTCAAGGGCATTGAGTTGTGTGGATGAGGGATTTGATGTGTGGATAGACGAAGGTGCGGTTATGATGTGTGGATACGAGGGCGTGACGTGATAAGCGCCGAATATTGCATATTCAAGCGCCCTAAATTGCATTAGTTAAGTCCATTATTTGATTTTATTATGTAGATTATCTTCATTTGTGCATTTTTGTTTATTTTCAGGTTCATTAGCTTAAAAGAAGCAAGAATGATGTTTTGTTGAAATTTTGAATGCAAAGGCACAATGTTGAAGCTTGGCAGCAGTGGAACCTGACTTTTGTCGCCATTTTCGACCTAGAAAACTCAAGAACTGGACTTCCATCATAACATGAAAGATTTAGATCTCTGAATTAGCTTTCTAAATCTTGAAACGGTTTGTCATTCGGAGCTAGGAGCAGAGAGTTATGACCTTGTTACCAAAGGTGCGCAGAACTGCCTGACAGCAATAAAATTCTGCCTTGATCTTCATTTTCGACCAACCATCCTTGAGAGTTGGATCTCTACCAAAACATGAAGTATTTAAATCTCTGAATTAGCTCTCCAAATCTTCAAACGGTTTGTCATTCAGAGTTCGGAGCGCAAAGTTATGGCTGTTTAACCAAAGTAGGTCTGGGCGGAGCAAGTGAAGCATGGAGCTTTTTACACTAAATTCGAGTGCTCGAGGCCTTGCTTCGAGTGCTCGAATTTTGGGCAGATTGTTGTTCGGGAATAGCCCATTTCAGCCACTTGCACTCTACATTTACCAACTTTGGATTTCCCTATTGATGAGGTGGTTGAGGATGTCTTTTGGGGGAGAGAGAGAGGCCTTATCTATAAAAGAGAAGAGAAGGGAGGCCACAAAAAAATAATTATCCTACATTTTTACAAGATAGAGGAGAGAGAAGAGAGCAAGAAAGAGGAGTTCTTCAAGCCAACACAAGGGAGCACGAAAATGGAGTTGGATGCCTTGCTTCCTCCTTCATCTAGAGCTACCATGGGTAACTAAACCTCTTCTTAGGGAGTTGATGTAACCCTTGTCAAGTAAATATGTATTAATTGTGTTTATATTTAGGGAACTTTGCATTTATGTAACAAGTTGTTTAATCTAGAGATACACTTTGATGTATTTGTGTTTCATTCCATATTTAATCTTGTAAAGACTATTTTCTTGTCTTAGAAATTGTTTCTTCATGATTATGCTACTTACATCTTTATAGTGAGAATGAAGATGAGATTATACAATGGTTTTAATGGCATTTTGTCTAAGAAATTTAATAGTCCATGGCTTAGGGAAACCTTTGATGGATTATGGCTTAGTTCTTGACTTCATGTGCACTTACCACATAAATTGAGGACTTTGATAGTTCATAACTTAGGAAGGATACTTCATTCTATACCCTAGTTTAGATAGATGACTTATGCCAACCTTTGATGGATTATACTTAATTCTTGAATGTGTGAACTTCTTGAAGATATTGTAGTTATCTTGCATTTCTACATATCATGGTTGCATGTATACTTTGTTCCCCAAGTTAATTGCAATTAGGCATGTTTATATGGCTTGTGGTGAAGTCAATTCCCTAGTCTCTTCTCTATTGTTCTATCTCTTTACTTCCTAGCACACAATTGTTTTATGCACTTTGAATTCCTAGTTTAGTGACCATCAAACAAACCCTTATTACCCCTTATCATTCTAAGAACAGTTCTAGACACTTAGGTTGCCATAGACTAGCGCAATCCTAGTGGTTCGACTTACCCGACCAATAGCCCTATTTTACAATGATTCGTGCTATTGCGAAGGTTGATGTTTAATTGACCAACCGATCATGACGTAGGGTTGCATTAGGCATATTATGCATTGTATTGCATTGGATGGTATGATAATTATTTGGTAGACGAAAATGTTGTTTGTAAATCCCTCGTATGATCCCTTACTCTTTTTCCTATTCATTATTTGTAAGACATATAATTACTTACCTTGCTTAAGGAGATGCCACTTAGGCAATCTCTATTGAGCCATTGTGCTCACTCTACATTTTTCAGGTTTTGGAGGAAAGGTGGTAGATATTGATCCTCCACTTGCATAGACGAGATTAGAAAGGATTTCCATTTTCCATTTTGTATTGGAGGATGTATTTGTAAAGTTTAGACAATTTTATGTAATGGCCTATCGTTGTAACTTCAGAAATGTAACCATATTCTTTTGAGACATGTTTAAATCTGTTTTTTTTTTTTTTTAGACACATATATATATTGGACTGGACTTTTGTAGTTAAATGTAATTAATTATATTTTCACATTAGAAATAATTGTAATGCCTTAGATGACCTCAGGTTTGGGTAATGACCCGGTTAGAGATCTGAACCCCCTAGTTCGGGTCGTTATAAATTTGGTATCAGAGCCTTATGTTCGAAAACGTAAGAATGACGAGTAGGGTTAGTCTAGATGGAGTTAGAATTGGGTTTGTGTAACAATCTGAACCAGGGGTCCGAATCGCTAACCGGGTCCTTAACCAAACCCGAGGACAAACTAAGGGTAAAATGGTTATTTTACATTATAAGAGGTTAATCCATCTATAAACTAATCAAATGAGGTTTAAAACAATCATTCTAGTCATTCCACGATACTCGGTGAAGTTCTACGGTCGTCGGTTATGAATTCCCAAAAGTATCCTTACTCGGTTCAAGGTTAATTTTGATACTATTCCACTAAAACCACAATAACTCTCAACATGAATGGAATTTGAAGATTAGATTGGTCTTATTGGAAAGCTAACTCAAAATCCTTGAAAATAGGTTCAAGAATGACCCTATTTGAGTTTGGAACGAAAAAGTTATGATCTTCTGAAGTTAAGTGATCAAAGCTAATAAGCTAACAAGCAAAATGTGCACACTGGGGGACTTGAACTGGTTCAGTGGGGCTGAACTGGTTCAATATGGGCAGTGTGCCCACTCGAGAACCAAAAGGACCCCTTTGAACCGGTTCAATGGGGCTGAACCGGTTCAAGATGCCCAGAACCCTAAAAATGTACCAAAAAGCTTAAAATCTTGGATTTTTGCATATATGCATCACTTTGGTCCTTATGTGACCTTATTTAAAGCCCAAACATGTCCCAAATCTTTCATTTGACAGTATATAAAGCATAATTAAACTCTCGTACATTCAAATATACCGGATACAAGCCCAATACGTCATTAAAAGACCAAATTACACAAATATCATTTTATACAAATTTCAAAGGAATTAAGTATAAGAAATAAGGCCTCTATGGCCAAAATTACATAGTTTTAATAAAAATAAAATGAAATCCTAATTACATCAATATCCATGGATGTAATTCATTCACCGGCTCACCTCCGAGTTCCTGAAAAATGTTAATGATAATGGGGTGAGGTCAATAGCTCAGTAGAAAAAGCCTAAAGTATATTCTTAAAACTCTCATGAGCCGCAACCAAAGAAAGGGAATCAAAGAAAAAGGGATCTTGGAATTATAAGGCATATCAATCATACATGAATTTCACAAATTCACAAACCATACCATTAAACATAAAATACAAATGTTCCCTTCTTTCTTTCTAACCCAACCTCACTAAAACCCTCCTAACCATCACTTTGGCTTACCACACAAACTACCGTCTCATTTTCTAACCTTTTTCCCCACATCAACCTTTATTCTCTCAACTCACCCCTATGCCATGAGTATGCATATCATACAACCATTCATCAATATACAAGTCATGGTTTACATCATAGTTATATTAAAACATTCAAACACAAAAATTGATCACATAAATCATACTTTCATATTTTCTCATAAAAAAATAGCATGCTTGGCACAAATACAAGAAAAGCATCATATTATCTACTCAAGTAATTAGATCAAAACTATCTCATGCTTAACAGACAACCAAAAATTTATAACTAAGCATGCTTCACAATATCAAGAGATTCATGTAAGAAAATACATAGAACTCACTAAAATAATAGGAATTTATACTTTAAACTTCCCCTACCTCGAGATAGCAACCCAAGCTCCAAGTTCCAAATTCAAATCCCACCAAAAGCTTGTAATACTTGTACTGATGTGTGTCAATAATAAATTAACCACTTGCAATAGAATGAATCCTTATCGGATAGGGCTATGTTGAGGGTGTCAAACCTCAAGGACTGTGATGGTTTATCGAGTCTTCAATTAATACTATTTTAATTTAAAAAGATGAATTGATTTGTTGTGTTGTGCTGCAATTTAATAATATAAAAGAAAATAAATTGAATAAAAAGTTTGAGATTAAGAGAAGAAATATTTAGGGATTGACTTCACCACGAACCTCATACTATGCTCAACTATTCAACCTTGTGATTTCAGTAATTATGTATCATATGGAATTAAACTCAATAACCTTTGTTTAATTCAGATTCAAAGAAAGATGTTTCATGAATTTTAATTAATAATAACCTATCTTCGGTTGGCACGAATTATCTACCAACCTACTTCTACCTAATTTTGCAGTATAACTCATCTTCCCTAGGTACAAACTATGAAAATATTCATTCATGAAAAATGTTTGAACACAACATGATCTCCATTCTTATATCTGACAGGGCTCCG